GTTGAGAGATTTAATCATCAGCATGTAAAATTGATGATTATGTAAAACTATTTCCATTTAAATACACATTTTCTGTTAACTCCATGATGACAACTTTCAACCATGTACCTACATCAATCACAATCAGGTGCTCAAGTGAAAATTTAGATTTACAACAGACACATGTTTTCCCTGCTTTCTATAAATTTGGCTTTGGCATATTTGATTTTAATAAAAAAAAAGACTAGAGTGATTGACCCTTCTTTAGAAAGATGTACTTCACAAAGAGGTTCACAAAGTACAGAGCAAATGCCACCACACAAGGGCATTTTCCACTTGGCATATGGGCTCCTTACTTCACACGATGAATTGATGCCACCTACTGTGAACAGTTCGTAACAACTTTTAACATATCTTTGATGTTACTTGTGTGAAAGTTAATCAACTGCTTTTAATCAAAGCACTTTTATCAAAATTAAATTGGTTAAACAACTCTAATGGTAAAAGCAAACAGCTCAGAGAAAAAGAAATCAACCCACCCAATCTTTGTGCCACTCAACACTTGGCAGTCACAAAGGGTAGATTTGTGGTAATAGGCAGTGTGATTGCTTGAATGGTATAATATGGCATAAGATCTGACTTTGTAGTATGTTAGCTGTTATCCATCAGTCTGTGTCAGGGTGTAACCTTGCACAATACAGATTAATGTGTTACACTATAGGTTCTGCATTGGTCCAATACATGTTGCTTAAGTGTATATTATAGAAGGATCTACTGTATACATATACACAAGCAATCACATACAGGCATATATCTATATATATATTCAGATATATGTATACTCTGGCTCGGTTCAAGTTACAGGTGAACTACATGGCAGCTTACAGCCTTCATGGCCACAAGGGTACTCCCAAGCGTGCTTACCATTTTTCAATATTTGTCAGTGGTAAACATACAAAAATGTAATTTTATGACAACTGACTATGGAAAATATAACCATCTGCCCCCACTCTAAATGGGATTTCTGGGCAGTCAGTTTTACATTTTAGCTGTACATTCAAATACAATAGTCAAAAGTTTTAGGTGTGCCTAGCTGATAAGCCCTGGTTACATTCTGCTTAGGGTCCCATGAAGGGAAAAGCTGGCCCTTTTCATTTCTTTTTCTAAGGATGAGCAAACATTTTACCAGTAAGCTGTCTCTTGAAAAAAAAACATATTCTATTTTGGAAATGACTAGTATAGACTGTCAACAGTACATCTAAAGCTTGGGGTGATCCGGCCATCATTTAACACGAACAGCGTCCCTCTGTCTCTTCCGCTTCATCGTCCTCCTGCTGCTGCAATGTTCTAGCACGACCCCTTCTGCCTGGAAGACGACTTGAATCCACTGCCATTTCCATTCTCTTCATCACAGCATCAAGAAGATGGATTACAGCAGTTTCTACATTTTGGCCTGAAGCAGCTGAAGTTTCAATGTACTGGAGGCTGTAAAAATGAAATGAAGTCTGATAAACAACACAGCATAACATTACATAGGATGAAAACAGGATAGTGTTGCTATTTTGTTGCCATATACTACAAATTATCATAAAACAAGACAATTATTCCCATAAGAAATATCAACAGTAAAATAAGCTGTGTTTCCCACCCTCCTATTCAGACTTCATGATTTAAAGAATAAAATTAAAGAAACTGGTAAATTAAAAACCATTAACTATTAATACAAGACAGATATACCAAGTTCACTTAAGTGCTAAAGAAATGTTTGGTGAGTGGATTGGAAGGAAGCATGGGTGGCTGCTCATGTAGATGCTGAGCTGATAGGCTGGGGAGGGGATCTCTTACCCTTCCTCATCCACTACTTTTTATGAAAAAACTATCCAATGTGATATGTTTGCTGCTTCTCAATTTACTTCTCTTTGTATGTTTTTTTTATAGCAGGGAAAACATTATCTGACATCTCATGCAACTTTTGAACTTTTCCCTGTCATGTGCTGCATCCACGTGGCAAAAGAACTCAGCAAGCTGCTTTATGGTCAGTTCTTTCTGTTCTTTATTATTTTCTTATTCACCATAAAGTCCTTTCACCTTATGCTTTATCATCATAAGGCTCACTGCAGTGTTATAGTGGTTCTGATCTTTAATCCATATAGCCAGCATTTTTTCATCTTTTCACTTATAGTGTTACAAGAATAATTTATGTGGAACATACCAGTTGTGGAATCTGGACTAATTGCTTTCTTGATCTTCTTGTTCACCTGGATTTTTTTTTTGCTGATGAATACAGCATTTGAAAGCTTGCACCATTCTCCAAGCACTTTCACAACAAGTGAGAGGCTCTTGCACTTTCTTTTCTTCTTGCTGTCTTCATCAGTTCTAGACATTCTTTTGGGACCCATTTTTGAGGCTGATATCTCAAAATATAAATAGTGGGTGGGCAATGACTCCAGTTATGTGCTGTATAGGAGGGATTAGGGGGAGGAAAGCAAAGGCTATTAAGGATTCATAAGAAAGAAGAAGTTCAATGGATCTTATTTTTTTGGGGGGGAGGAGTCAAAATTACTAATGTTAAGCACTATGTGAACATGCAATCATGGGAAAATTTGGATGAGGGTCAGGGTGACGGGAACTTGCAGTCATGAGAATTTTGGCTGAAGGCCTAAGTGCCAGGAATGACTCACAATGAGTGCACAAAGATCTTGGAATGTGATTAGACTCAGTGAGCATTTAGGAAGGTGCTTTTGCATCATATTCATTGATAAATGAGTGTGGAATGTACCAACTGTGAGCCATGACTGGAGGAGTGTTGGCTCCTGGGAGGTAGATATTTCCATGTTATTATTATTGCATGGACTACCTGGAGATATGGAATCTGTGCAAGGAAAGCAGTCTATTATCTATTTCATCATCATCATCATCATTGGGAGCTAATGTCAGCGGGATAAAGCAAATCAAATGACACTAGAAAATGGCTAAAAAAGCTAAAAACCGTTGTGCATAAAAAGAGAAAATAATAGTGGGAGGCAAAGGGGAGGCATGGAGTCTTGTCACTGCTAACAAATGTTTGTGTGCACCCAGCCTACAAGCTGGACACATGTCAGAGTGTTCACTGAAGTAAGCCTAATGACCATAATTTGGACCATGTGCAGGCAGTGTAGCATATGGATCTAAGGGGTTAACTAAACTTAGTTAAAAGCTTCTTACCCAAACTTCTCAGCAACATCTCTGGCCCGCTGTTCAGAAATCATTCTTTGATCTGCTAAATCCACTTTGTTTCCACACAGGATTATGTCAGGATTGTCACAGTATGCATGAGTCTGAAATTTTGATATAGAGAGACTTCACTTATAACAAAGCAAATCGTGTAAAACATAGCGGCAACTATGAGTTTTTGTTGCCTACAAATACTACTATACTTCTAAGGCTTATGGATGTGAAAGTTTACTATAGTATCAGGTCCAGAACCTTGATCAAATTAAGCTGAGCAAGGGCTATAACTCAGTGTGAACTTGATGAGTTTAACAGTAAGATTTATTCATGCAAAATATACCTCCAATCCTATACTCCTTTCAGGAATTATAGCCCTGAACCCCCACCCTTTTTTAGATATTTTCTCATCTAATCTCACATCACATAAGGAGGTAAGAATATAACTGTCGAAAGATTCAATGCAGGGTATGTAACCCTAAATGGCAACTCTCCTAAAGTGTCCTAATTGTTCTTTCACTGTTTAAAAGAATATTTACTTATCTATTTAAAAGTTCTAAATTCCTAATACTTATGCAACTGATATAAGAAATATGTTTAAATTACTTATAATAAAAAGAATCTAAATAGAAACCAAAGTAATAGAGACTTTCAGTATTACTTCAGTATTATGTAAAACAAATTTACATTTGCATTTCTGGAAATTTAACTATGCTACAAATGACATTGCTCCCACTTTTACTTTTGAATGAGATATCATGACAATAACCGAGTTATAAAATCTTTAATGCTTGATATTTAAAACATCTTGTAACCACACAGACTGGCCTACAAACAGAATTCACTGTGAAATCGTTGAGAATGATAAAAATAGAAATTAGTCACTTCAAAAGGCATGGTGGATTACCTATGAATTTTCTTTTTCAGCAGATGATTACTTTAACCTATAGTTTCTTATGTGCATATAATTATCTTGCCGTAATCTTTAACAATTTGAAACTGATAGATGTGGTCTTCAGAGAGCAATGTGTGGTTTCTATCTTTCTCTTTTGTTCCCTGTGTTCATTATAAGTCACATGAAGAGGTCAAGTACCTGTTTAAGAACAAACAAATGACAAACAAAAATAGATATTGCAAGCTCTTTAAGGACAGGGCTTAAAGTATGACTCCATCAAGTAAGCAACAAGTTACAGAAGTCAGGCAACTACAGCTCACAGCCAATATCTATGTATCTTATAAATCTGTCTGTCACATAATCACAGTAAAGACAGCATCTAAGGAATCTGCCCATCTTACCCTATGAAATTATTGACCCCCTCTCTAACCTTGTCAACAAAGACCCTGTAAAGTCAATGCATTAAGAAAGTTCCTATGCAAGCTAATAATTAGCTCATTTATTCCTAAGTTCTACATTATGCATATCTCATTAATAAACATCACTTTCAAATCTATGTCAAGCCTCACACAGACTCTTCCCCCATCTGTGAAAGGGAAGATTTTTAAAAGTGATTTAATCCTATTTTCAAAGGCAATCTTACTTAGTTGTATATATTAGTAATTATCAGTTCAAGGACCCTGTGAAATAAAATGGTACAGGGGTTACCTGGAGAGATATAGTAAGGAATTCTTGGGACAGAGAGCAAATTGAAGACATATTATTGCAAAAATCTCAGAATTACATATCAACAAAAATTCTACCACACAGTTTAGGTCAAGTATATGTAACATATAATAATGTTTCCCTAGCCATACCTTTAGCTGCTCCAGCCAACTTCTAATATTGAGGAATGACTGCTCATTAGTCAAATCAAACAGTAGCAGGAAACCCATGGCATCCCGATAAAATGCAGTGGTTAAACTACGAAACCTAAGAAAATGCAAGTGCAAATTAGTAAGCACATTCTGATTCACTACTAAGTTTCCTAAAAGTGGGGTTAAAACATATCTACTTTTCTAAACCATATAGAAATCCATGCATTTGAAAAGGATGTCTTTGACAAAAAAAAGGAATAACAATAAATCAATAAGTAAAAATGATCTTATATTAAACTTCTACATGGTTTGGAAAATATACTTGATAAGCTAATGTACAACTTCACTCAAAATAAGTAAATTTCTGTGTTACTGCACAAGCATAAGAATTTGGTGCATCATACTGACCTTACATCATGCATAATCTTATAAATAATATTAGTAGATATAAAATATAATGGAAAATGCCATTCAAAATCATTTTACTTTGTACAAAGTAATATGAGGTAATGTATTATTACAAGAAGACTAGCTGAAAATAAAGTTCTCATATGGTTCATATAATATTCCATGCAGGTAAGTTGCAGTGAATTGCTGAATCATGCTAAACCAATGTTTTACCTCAAATGAAAAATGACATGATGACTCAAGATATACTGATACTAAATACAGCTATAAGGACTGATTAAAAGTATTTGTAATAAATATTGATATAACATGATGTGAAAAATAATATCAGTAACAATCATGATCCTTGAATACAAAAATAATCACACACACACACACACACACACATATACATAAATTATATATATATATATATATATATATATATATATATATATATATATATATATATATATATATATATATATATATATATAGTATATATATAGTATATATATATATATATATATATATATATATATATATATATATATATATATATATATATATATATATATATATATAGTATATATATAGTATATATATATATATATATATATATATATATATATATATATATATATATATATATATATATATATATATATATATATATATATACATACATACATACAGACACACACACACACACATATATATAGATAAATAAATATATATATATATATATATATATATATATATATATATATATATATATATATATGTATATATTTATTTATTTATCTCTATATATATATGTGTGTGTGTGTGTGTGCGTGTGTGCGTGCGTGCGTGCGTGCGTGCGTGTGTGCGTGCGTGTGTGTGCGTGTGTGACCTATTGTCTTAACATTTGTGTATTATCCTAAAATCAAAATAAGGTGTTATTGCAGCAATGATAGTCTCACACTCTCACACACTTTCACACACACACACACACAATGAATATGGGTGAGTAAAGTGACAGAGTGTTAAAGGGTATGGCAGTATGTCATCCTCCACAGACAGGTTGGGTGACCATGAACGATTTCCCCCCCTGTAAATGGCCAAGTCACCAACCCCTGGGAAGGTCCTGTCAACTTCTGCAGGTTGTTATCAACACTCTGAGAACTCTTGGTATATATGAAGGTGATAATGGTGTAAAGATGTGATTTTCTTTAACAATATATCTAAATTAAATTAGACTATTAAATAAACCTTTTTCCTTGCTATTTTTGGAGATATAAAATAATGAACATGTGCAAGAAATACTTAATCATATTTACAAAAAAATAAATAGCATACAAATCTTATTAACTTTTGATCTAAAGACAATCATTCGTGAAATGCATCTAGCAACACTGAGTAAAGGTTGCATGTAAATCCTACAAGCAATAAATCATACTTTTCCTGCCCGGCCGTGTCCCAGAGCTGAAGATGGACACCCTGTGGGCGAGCAAAACTATTGCCCTTGTAAATCTGTGGAATAGGAGAGAGTGAGGTAAGAAAATATAATCTATACCGGACAAACCACTTTCTCGGATTAGAAAATAAAACACACTGAATGTATAAACAATAACTCATGGTATTCAAATATTCCAGAGTAAAAATTCTGCAATTAGATAAATTTGATAATATCAATAAATTGGAATTCCATAAAAATACGCACACACACACACACACTTATATATATATTTATTATTATTATTATTATCATTATATATATATATATATATATATATATATATATATATATATATATATATATATATATATATATATATATATATATATATATATACATACATACATATATATATATATATATATATATATATATATATATATATATATATATATATATAGATACATAGATAGATAGATATAGATAGATATAGATATATAGATATATATGTATAGATATATAGATAGATAGATAGATAGATTTATACACACACACACACACACACACACACACACACACACACACACACACACACACACACACACACATACATAGATAACAATCCTCCCTGACCTGGCCTCAAACCTAGGTCACTCCAGGGTATGAGACCGGAGGGCCAGTACTAAACCAACCATGCCACGCGACCCACTAAAAGGAGTGTGCAACTAGGATCTAACTAGCTCCATAGACATTACCTATCTACTCATACATGAGTAATGATAGCGAGGTTTTACACACACTCCCCGTGGGCACTCGGTGGAAATTGATTTAGAAATTTGAAACCGAAGTCAGATATACTGAGGTATATATATGAAAGATGGAATAATGTAATGCCGCATTCATAGATATATAACAATCCTCCCTGACCTGGCCTCGAACCTAGGTCACTTCGGGTATGAGACCGGAGGGCCAGTACTAAACCAACCATGCCACGCGACCCACTAAATTAGTCATGGCCCTCCGGTCTAATACCCAGAGTGACCTAGGTTCGAGGCCAGGTCAGGGAGGATTGTTGTGTATCTATATCAATGAGCCAATTACGAGTACTGCCTGTCTTGCCTGTTCACCCTTTTCATTAATTTAAGAAAATATTTAATGTTATCTTATTTAGCTGTTACTAATGTTTATAACATTATAGTAATTATGTTTATAATAAAAATAACACCATCAATATTCATAGCACTAGTAAAAAATATGTTTTTTCCACCAATTCAAGGAAAGGTGAAATCAGGTAAGGTCACAAGATCTACTAATTGACTCCTTTGTAGCTAAACACTAGCAGCGCCATCAGAGACCTTTCACAAAAATAAAAAAAATTGGTTCAGGATTTTCCCTATTTTCTATTCATTTTCCCCGGTGGCAATGGGTCAATACAGCAGTTTGCTAGTACAGATAAATCTACATCATATATATGACATTGATCCTATGCATTCCAAAACAGACTTGCCATGTGGGAATCCCCAAGTAACTAGTAAAAGAACTAGTTACTGGTGCCACCAATATCCAGTGAACAATCTACAGTATTTGTATATGATCAGATTTGGTGTAACGATATTGCACTGTACTGTGTAAAACTTTGAACCATTTCATAGATTATTTTTTGCTTCACATGAAACGTTTAAAGATCAAATAATAATCACAAATGATAATTGAAATAAAAAGGAGATGAGTCTTTTTGTACTTCATAAATATCAACTTTAACTTCAAATTAGTCTTGTAATTGTATCAATGTATAAAGCACCCTAGCAATCCCGATAAAATGATACAGTTATTGAGCAGGTAAGGCAGTGCTGATACCAAAACAAAAGTATCAATTGATATTCATAGTGATACTGCCCATTTCTGTATAAATATATATGTACATAAATATATATATATATATATATATATATATATATATATATATATATATATATATATATATATATATATATATATATATATATATATATATGTATATGTATATATATAAACATTTGTATATGTATGTGTATAAATATATGTATATGTATATATATATATAAATACATGTATATGTATATATATAAACATATGTATATTTATATATATAAATAAATGTATATATATATATATATATATATATATATATATATATATATATATATATATATATATATATATATATATATATATATTAAATCTAAAGTGAGGGACTGAATGCTTGAACAACTCACATAACTGTTTTTGAATGCAATAACTTAAGTGTCTGATATGTAGTAATTTAATGTACTTAGTTTGTTTAGGAGCCAATGTAAGATTTAAAGGCTGGTATATCATATTACTTAAGAATTATCTCAGGGTTTTCTGAAACATACTGCCTGGGTATCCATTTGTTTCAGACTATTCTGAGTATCAAAAAGGGACCTGCTAAAGCAAGTATTATATGCTCTGTTGATTAAAGTGGATATGCTATTATTCTTGTATTTCTGCGGTGAGTAACTTAACCCATTGCCGCCAGGGATGGCATGTACGTACATGCCATGCCCACTGTGAGTCGACTTGTTCTATTGTTTTTACGCATAGATGGCTACACTTGTACTAAGTATCCAATGAGCCAATTACAGTACTGCCTGTCTCGCCCGTTCACCCTTTTCATCGATTTACGAAAATATTTAACGTTATCCTAATTTGCTGTTAAAAATAACACCATCTATATTTATAGCACTAGTAAAAATTCAAGGAAAGGTGAAATCAGGACTAGCAGAGCCATCTATGGCCGAGATATTTCACAAAAATATAAAAAATGAGTACTGCATTTCCCCCATATTTTGGTCATTTTCCCCAGCGGCAATGGGTTAAATAATGCATTCCCAAACCAGTAAAAGTGTTTTCTGTAAACAGTAGTGTACAAGCAATCATTTGGTGATCAGCATATCAAGAAGAGTTTTTTCTTTTCTAATTTCACAGGTGAACTTAATGTTATAATTAATGTTCCCTACAGTTCCAATTTAAAGACCCTTATGGTGCAAGGATTGTATTTTTTTCTGGTAATGCATGCATAGTATCCAGTATTCTGTGAATGGAATGCTCTTGTTTGTAATGTAGCCTTTGATTGGCTCATGACATTTTGCAAATATTTTCATTGATAAACAATATCAGCCATTAAAATTATGTTAGAAAGTTTGTAAACATAACAAGGTTTTACCCAGTGCC